CTATCTTATATATGTTAAATTTATATTTATATATTACAGAGCCTAGTTAAACTCTTAATTTATACACGCTGGCTTAAAGGCGTTTATTTACCAACATTAATATATACAACAGAGAAAAGTATAGAATCGAAAGGATCTGAATAGCTCAGTTGGAAGAGCAGTCGCCCGGCAAGCGAAAGGTCTCGGGTTCGATTCCCGATTCTGCGACTTTCGGATCTATATTTTTCTCTCGCACTTTATTTCTTTAGGGGGAATAGGGGATACATGGAATTAAAAATCTCTTGTAGAGATTATTCCAATTTTATATCTTGGCCGTGTCCAAGTAAAAATTTGGTGCCTTGTGCACAGGTATTTAATTCTAACGAAAAAATTTAGTTTCGTTTAGAATAACGCACTGTCATCCGCGATTTGGCTCTTATTGCCTATCTTATATATGTTAAATTTATATTTATATATTACAGAGCCTAGTTAAACTCTTAATTTATACACGCTGGCTTAAAGGCGTTTATTTACCAACATTAATATATATAACAGAGAAAAGTATAGAATCGAAAGGATCTGAATAGCTCAGTTGGAAGAGCAGTCGCCCGGCAAGCGAAAGGTCTCGGGTTCGATTCCCGATTCTGCGACTTTCGGATCTATATTTTTCTCTCGCACTTTATTTCTTTAGGGGGAATAGGGGATACATGGAATTAAAAATCTCTTGTAGAGATTATTCCAATTTTATATCTTGGCCGTGTCCAAGTAAAAATTTGGTGCCTTGTGCACAGGTATTTAATTCTAACGAAAAAATTTAGTTTCGTTTAGAATAACGCACTGTCATCCGCGATTTGGCTCTTATTGCCTATCTTATATATGTTAAATTTATATTTATATATTACAGAGCCTAGTTAAACTCTTAATTTATACACGCTGGCTTAAAGGCGTTTATTTACCAACATTAATATATATAACAGAGAAAAGTATAGAATCGAAAGGATCTGAATAGCTCAGTTGGAAGAGCAGTCGCCCGGCAAGCGAAAGGTCTCGGGTTCGATTCCCGATTCTGCGACTTTCGGATCTATATTTTTCTCTCGCACTTTATTTCTTTAGGGGGAATAGGGGATACATGGAATTAAAAAATATCTCTTAAAGAATTTTATTCCGAATGCGATCTGGAAGAGCTTGTTATTTTTTTTTTTTTTCGTTTATTCCGACTTTGGATCTTATTTCTCATTTTTCTCACTGTTTCGCTTTTCTCAGCCAATTGCGCTGAGCAGTCCACCTTTCTCGGATTTAGTCTCGTTTCTTTATTTCTTTAGGGGGAATAGGGGATACATGGAATTAAAAAAATCTCTTGTAGAGATTATTCCAATTTTATATCTTGGCCGTGTCCAAGTAAAAATTTGGTGCCTTGTGCACAGGTATTTAATTCTAACGAAAAAATTTTAGTTTCGTTTAGAATAACGCACTGTCATCCGCGATTTGGCTCTTATTGCCTATCTTATATATGTTAAATTTATATTTATATATTACAGAGCCTAGTTAAACTCTTAATTTATACACGCTGGCTTAAAGGCGTTTATTTACCAACATTAATATATATAACAGAGAAAAGTATAGAATCGAAAGGATCTGAATAGCTCAGTTGGAAGAGCAGTCGCCCGGCAAGCGAAAGGTCTCGGGTTCGATTCCCGATTCTGCGACTTTCGGATCTATATTTTTCTCTCGCACTTTATTTCTTTAGGGGGAATAGGGGATACATGGAATTAAAAAATCTCTTGTAGAGATTATTCCAATTTTATATCTTGGCCGTGTCCAAGTAAAAATTTGGTGCCTTGTGCACAGGTATTTAATTCTAACGAAAAAATTTTAGTTTCGTTTAGAATAACGCACTGTCATCCGCGATTTGGCTCTTATTGCCTATCTTATATATGTTAAATTTTATTTATATATATATATATATATATGTATTTATATAATTTGTATAAAAACTAAAATATATATATATGTATATGTGTAATGAAATATATAAATCTTATTTTAATTAAAATAAAAAGAACGATTAATTGTTCGACCACCTGGATTTTGGAATGTAATTTTTAATATATATTATATTATATTTAATATTTATCGCCGCTTCTATTAATATGAAGTGCAATGTCAACGTGCAATAATGTACAATTATTTAAAGTTTCCATGCCTAATGTATCATGCCGGTATAAAAGAACGTCAAGTAGCATGCGTAGCCGAGCAACTAATTGTAAGATGACGAGCTGAAATCGTGGACATTTCAAGTTCAAACCCCTGCCTTTTTCAGATTTTTTTTTCACTTTTTTCAAATAAGTTATTATGTGTATAAATGTGTAATAATCAATATATCATTATTTGATAATTTTTTTTGTAATGGAACAAAATAAATTATTTTTTAATTCTGCAAGGAATTTAATTATTAATGCAAACGCCCACACACATAATTTAGATATTCAATTTTTTTTAGTTCAAATGTTTCTTGCAATCTGTATACGACAATCAGTCCACTCGCTGTGCCACAGATTGCATCGCATAATACGCTCAGAGTTATAATACGATAGAGATCGCTTTACGCTGTTTTTCCTTGAAATAAATAAATTTTACGTGCTGTGTACGCGTGTTTAGTATATTTGTTTCTTTCATATTAATTTTAACTATAATTAGTTTTTTAATTAAGATTATTTTAGTGTTAGTTGTTTATTTGTTAGTGTCCTGTTTTCTTTAATTTCGCATTTTTTAATTTTCTTTTTTTTTGGTGTTGGTGCTAATTATTATTTTTATTTTACAATGTCGAGTAAACACCGGTTTTACGATAAATGTGTGTATTTAAATTGCACAAATATTAGGACAAAAGATGGAAAACGTTTATTTCGATTTCCATTACAAACGGGTGCGAGACATGATTTATGGTTACGCAATAGTGGTGAGTTTATAAAATTGATTTACTTATTTATATCAATATATAATATATATTGATATGATATATGAAACAAATATATATATATATTCTTTGTTTTTTTTAATAAAATATGTCAGATATTATGTATGTTTACGTATGGATTACGTTGAAGTGTTTCTTTGCCGCGTTTTTCTGATCTCGCCGAACGGTTCGCGAATCCTGTGCGAATAAAAAACGATGCGCGTGTGTGTGTGCGTGCGATTGTGATGATCAGTTTCAGTTCGTCTTCAACGCTTGACGAGAGAAGAGGTCCCGAACTGCTGTAAGTTTATAAAAACATATTTTTGTATAACACATTAGAACGATTTTATATTATTTTTTTTGTCTAGAAAACGTTATATTAATAACCGTTATGAAAACGATCTCGACGACGGCGACGATGCCGGTGACGACCGTCGTCGAGATCGTTTTCATAACGGTTATTAATATAACGTTTTCTAGACAAAAAAAATAATATAAAATCGTTCTAATGTGTTATACAAAAATATGTTTTTATATACTTACAGCAGTTCGGGACCTCTTCTCTCGTCAAGCGTTGAAGACGAACTGAAACTGATCATCACAATCGCACGCACACACACACGCGCATCGTTTTTTATTCGCACAGGATTCGCGAACCGTTCGGCGAGATCAGAAAAACGCGGCAAAGAAACACTTCAACGTAATCCATACGTAAACATACATAATATCTGACATATTTTATTAAAAAAAACAAAGAATATATATATATATTTGTTTCATATATCATATCAATATATATTATATATTGATATAAATAAGTAAATCAATTTTATAAACTCACCACTATTGCGTAACCATAAATCATGTCTCGCACCCGTTTGTAATGGAAATCGAAATAAACGTTTTCCATCTTTTGTCCTAATATTTGTGCAATTTAAATACACACATTTATCGTAAAACCGGTGTTTACTCGACATTGTAAAATAAAAATAATAATTAGCACCAACACCAAAAAAAAAAGAAAATTAAAAAATGCGAAATTAAAGAAAACAGGACACTAACAAATAAACAACTAACACTAAAATAATCTTAATTAAAAAACTAATTATAGTTAAAATTAATATGAAAGAAACAAATATACTAAACACGCGTACACAGCACGTAAAATTTATTTATTTCAAGGAAAAACAGCGTAAAGCGATCTCTATCGTATTATAACTCTGAGCGTATTATGCGATGCAATCTGTGGCACAGCGAGTGGACTGATTGTCGTATACAGATTGCAAGAAACATTTGAACTAAAAAAAATTGAATATCTAAATTATGTGTGTGGGCGTTTGCATTAATAATTAAATTCCTTGCAGAATTAAAAAATAATTTATTTTGTTCCATTACAAAAAAAATTATCAAATAATGATATATTGATTATTACACATTTATACACATAATAACTTATTTGAAAAAAGTGAAAAAAAAATCTGAAAAAGGCAGGGGTTTGAACTTGAAATGTCCACGATTTCAGCTCGTCATCTTACAATTAGTTGCTCGGCTACGCATGCTACTTGACGTTCTTTTATACCGGCATGATACATTAGGCATGGAAACTTTAAATAATTGTACATTATTGCACGTTGACATTGCACTTCATATTAATAGAAGCGGCGATAAATATTAAATATAATATAATATATATTAAAAATTACATTCCAAAATCCAGGTGGTCGAACAATTAATCGTTCTTTTTATTTTAATTAAAATAAGATTTATATATTTCATTACACATATACATATATATATATATTTTAATAATTATATTTTAGTTTTTATACAAATTATATAAATACATATATATATATATATATATATAAAGAGAAAAGATCGCACATATACAGAATGAATACGTGATACTGTGTTAACACGAAAATTATGGGCGTAGCACGGACTCGCACCAAATACAAACTTTATCGACCCTGCCAGAAAATGGGTGTGCAGTTAGTTCCGATATTAAAAACGGGTGCGAGGGGCGCTTCAAGCAGTCCCGTAAAAACGGTAACAGCCAAAACGCCGGCCTGGCCGCTCTCATCTTTCTCTCTGGTTGGAGCTGTTTACTTTACGAACGTTTTCGTTTAAAAATATGTTGTTACTTTTATTTAATAAAAATTGACAGAAGTACACTTATTAAAACGATCTATAAATTGTGCATAAATATTGTGCATGTAAATGTGACAACGTGTTATGAATCATTGATCTCATCATTCAGTTTTTTCTCCAACGCACTATATTTGTTATTGGAATTTTTCTCCCTTTGACAATTTTCTCCGTGTGCCCTTTTTATTGAAGATCATCAAGATTATCGTGGAGGACTACAAAATGCATTAAAATAATATTCATGAAAGAGCACAACAGTTACAAAACAGAACATAATTGATCATTTAAGTGGCATGTATGTATTATATTTACAAAATCTATCATCTAAATATAAAGAAATATATAATATATAGGTTAAAATTATTTTAAATTATACAGTTTTTTTTCAGACTCGTGTGAATGAGAATATAACAAAATGACATCTAATTGCAACTTTGTGAGTGATTCACAAAACTTTACCTTACGACTCTCTGGAGATTCTATTGAAGATACATGTGATTTTGTTGCAAACAGTAAGACAAAAGATAAGGATGATATTATTGAGATTAGCAATTCTAGTTGTAACTCATCACCTGAAGAGTCAAAATGGAAATTTAATTCTAATATTAAAGAGAAGAATGGAAAGTATCAGAAGACTTTTTCCTCGGAGAGTGAAGAAGAAAAGTTTGATTCGCCATGCAAACCAGTTGTCAGATCTGACAATAAATCAATGCAAATTAATAAAGTATCTTTTGATAAAATGACTAGCAATAGCAGTATAAATAATGACAGAAACACTAAAGATCAGTTAAATAGAAGTAATAATAAGTTCTTCAAAAGTAGACGTCCTATACTTGCCTACTGGCATGCAGGGAATAAAATGATAAATTCAAAAATGAGAGGAAACTGTAATGTTAAAAAGACAAACAAAGTAAATATATCAGATTCTGCTATGTCTAGTGATAGTTCCAATATTACTAGCAGATTAAATAAATTTCCAACTTATAATACTCCACAACAAGACAAGACTGGAAAAATAAAACTTACAAAGCAAGATACTTACAAAATATTAAGAAATATTAAGTCCACACAAATTGTGTATAATGCTCCTAAAGAGAAAAAGAAAGCAATGTAATAATTGATGAGAGTACAGATGAAGATGTAATGCATCCAGCTATATCACCTAGTTATAATAAAAAAATAAATCAGAATCCCAATGATAGTCCTGATGTTATTGATACAAGTCTTAAGAAGAATGTTAATTCAAATGGATGCATGCAAATAGATTTGTCAAAACCATACAAAACATGCAGCGAACTTCTTGATATATTAAAGAAGGAGGACCTTCAAAAATCTTTATCTGAAAAGAAGAAAAAGCAAATTGTAGAATGGCTTATCACAAATTCACCTAATTCTGTAAGTGATAGTTCTTGTAGTAATATACCTCCAAGTATTAGAAATAGCATAGATTCTGGAAACAGCAGTCTAGAAAGATTAGAACTGAACTATGAAACTCCAAATAATAGAGAAAGGATCAACAAAGTGCAGACTGATAAGAAGCAAACTACAACTGTTAATTCTGACAAAGTGATTCATTCACTTTTGACGCGTCAAACTACACTAGATAAATATTTGACAAAATCAAACAATAATATTTCTAAATTTTGTACACCAGACAGACCAAAATCTGATGTGAAAATGCATCTTGACAAAAAAGTTTCCTCTTCAATAAATACACCTGAAAACAGAGATGTAATGAACTATGCAGATATTTTAGATAAACTCTATGGTAATTCGTGGAGAAATAAAGCTAATGTTTTACTGCCAACAACTGAACCACGAAAGACATCTAATCAAGCAACAAGTAGGATCATCCAAACAGAAAGGTAATTTATACTTTTACATGTATAATTGTAAATGTACATATTGTTTTATTTAAAAAAAAGTTTGTCTAATAAATTATACTTTATTGCAGGAAAGCAAAAAATAAATATGTAATAGATTCGGATTCAGATAAGTCTGACTTAGGTAAGGATCTTTATCATATTTTATTTAAATCTGATTTGTTATTGTCATTTTCTTTAAAAAAAAATTGATTTTAGAAAATAATGTTAAGTTAAATCGACGAAGAAATGTTCAACGAACACAAAGAAAACAAGACAGTTTTATTGACGATGAATCGCTATCAAGTGATAGTGAGAGTATGTATCACACCGCATTAACAAATCCTAGAACTTCAACAAATAATGCTACATCTAAATCCATGACAGTGCCAACTTCAGTTAAAAGGTATGTTGATGTTGCATTCATCATTTATAACGATAAAGATACTGAATTAAATCACTATTATTTTATACAGACTGCAAGCGATATGTGATACCGATACTGAAGATGAAAATGATGAATCTAATAATTCTGAGAAACATCTAAACAGAAGGAAATTATTATTTAGCGACGAAGAAAGTTCTAACACAAGTGAATTTGATCCTGGAGATTATGTACCACCAAAAAATATATATAAAAAAGGTAAACAAAAATTATATATATAGAAAATTTCTTTAATTTCAAAAATAATGTGATATATATTTTTAGAAGCTACTAGAATCAAACAACAACAATCCAGATTTACATCAATTACAACAGAGAAATCTGTAGGATACAAAAGCTTTTTGGCATCTTTGTCAAATATGATTCCAATGAGTAACATTCATCCAGATGCAAAGAAATATAGAATGGATTATAAAAATAATAAGGAAGAATTATGTAAAGAATTGTATAAATTGTACAATGAGAAAGTATTTGATAACCAATTGCCTCAAGATATGCCAATTGAATGGAATATTCGTATGAGAGGAACTGCTGGATTTTGTTACAATAAGAAATCTGTAAGAACTCTTAGTGGTGTTGTTAGATCTTCAAGAATTGTATTAGCAACAAAGGTACAATTTTTTCCTTTTATATATGATTTATATATATAAATCATATATAGGGATATAATCAATACAAGTATAATTGAGTATAATTGAGGAATAAATTTTATCTTATAGATTTTGGATACACCAGACAGATTGAGAGATACCTTGATTCACGAGATGTGTCATGCTGCAGCTTGGCTAATAAATAATGTCTCGGATGGTCATGGACCTTTTTGGACAAAATGGTACATTATATTATAATGCTTTTTATAAATATAGTTTAAATATTATAATTAAGTAGTATCTTAAACTTAAAATAACAAAGTTTTTATTGCAAAATGTTACGTTATTATTCATTTTTATTACAGGGCTCATAAAGCAATGAATACATTTTCTGAATTACCGCCAATTCGTAGATGTCATGATTACGAAATTAAAACCAAGTATACATATCGATGCACAGGTTGTGGATACAGGTATCAAATTAAATTTATAAAAATTTATTCCCTTTCTATTTCTTAAACTTTATTTTTATTATTAATTTGTTCATTATTGTAGCATTGGAAGACACTCAAAATCCTTGAATATTGAAATCAAACGATGTGGCCATTGTTTTGGAAAATTTGAATTATTAATTAATAAAACGACTAAGTCTGGTGTTAAGCAAGTGCAAACCCCAAAGAGAGAACCTTCTGGTTTTGCACTTTATGTGAAGCAGAATTACAATTCGGTGAAAAAGGAGAAGAATAATATGAAACATGCTGATGTGATGAAGCTTTTAGGTCAGCAATTTTCAGCAATTAAGATAGCAAAAAAAGATAATCTAGCTAGTGATTAAGAATGACCCAGGGATACCTGGTTAAAAAATATATAATCAAATATTTTATGATCAATTTCAGAAATTGGAGATAATTGTCATTTTAGTAGCATATAAGTAGAATTAACAGTAACACACTTTTTAGCAGATTTTAGAAAGTTGTCAACTGTATATATTTAGATATCTGTAATTCCGTATGATTTGAAGTTACAGAGATCATAGATGTATGCAATTACAATATGTACATATATGAAATTTGAATACTGATATTTTCTCTTACTATATTGCAGGCACTGAGAGTATATGAAATATTTTATACATTAGCATAAATAATATTTAGGGACGCATACAAGTACTTTTGTACGTAATAATATATTAAATATAGCTAAGACTTGTAGCAGTATTTATATAATAAAGTGCATTTAAAAATTTATCTCGTCAATGAAACGTCAATTTATATCAAATCCATATAAATTCTTAAATTCCATAATCTATTACCTTTTAACTTTACCGAGAGCTTTCAAAGTTGTCCAAATTGCTAAAGTGCTCTTAATTCTTTATTCATTAGATTTCCATTTTCTGCATTACACAACATATATATATATATATACATATACCAATTGTCAAGTTTCGAATGACATTTGTTGACGTTTGACGTTTCTGAGATAATAAACAGCTGTCAACAGTCACGAAGCATAAAAATCTAAATGCGCACCATTCAAACCGTGTGCAACTTCACACTTGAGGGCGCTCGTGAAGGCAAATTTTATTTCCGACGTCTGACGACGTTCTAAAGTACGTGCGCACACCCAGGCGGGTAATTGGGGACTCGCCTTGGAGCGAGGGTCGGCGCATGCGCGCGTTCCTCGCGGCGCGTCAGTAGCGCACTCTAAAAACAGTCGAGCCGAAGATGGCGACGTGTGAGCGGCGGCGTCCGCGCGGTGTTTAGGTCGGGAGAGAGTGAGAGAGGGTACCATGTTGCCGCGGTCGCAGTATCCGCAGTGTTTCCGTGATCCGCGTTAGGCTCGGTGCAAATGTAGGAATGTCAGAGGCGAAACGGGTACCCCTGCAGACCCTGGAGTTCCCGGAGTCCCTGGGCCACGCGACGAAGAAGGAGAAAAAGGGGAATATGGGCAAGCAGCTCGCGCCCTCCTTCCGCTTCACGCTCACCCTGCCCGAGTCGAACGAGAAGACATGCCCCGAGTTCAACTACGCACAGCTCATCAAAACGGCCGAGGTGAGAACGAAGACTCCTCCCTCGATTAGTTCTCGTTGTCGGTAGAAGAAACAAAAAAAAGTATAACAAAAAGATCGTACGTGTCAAATCCGCGACACGCGGAACATATGCGGAGAGAGTGGCGAGAAAAAGAGAGGGAGATAGAGAAACGCGTGTATCTGTTTGATGACGGGAAAAAGGCGAGAAAATTCGCGCGGCGTTCGACGAGACGAGCCGCTTCGGCGCGTCGCCGACGCCGAATTGTCACGCGGTTTCGCTCTCGCGCGACATGTGTGTGCATGTGTTGGCTTGGCTGCTGCCCGTCTCGTCTCGCGTCCGTCCGCCCGCGACGTGAAGACGTCGTCGGAACGAGATGGCGAAAAACGGGCTCCTTGATCGATTCGGCGGGTCCCCGCCGAGCCGAATCCGCGCGTTGTCAACGTCATCGCTGCGCGCGGACCGAACATATGCACGAGACTGTCACGAGGACGTGCCCCGTCCAATTTTTAAAGACGATGCGCCTTTCGGTTCCAGCGAAAACGCGGCCCTTTTGCTTGTAAAACGTTTGTGCGAGAGTTGCCATTGCGCGACATCATCCGGCGTTTCATCTCTCTTTCTCTTTCGCCCTCTCTCTTTCTCTCTCTCTCTCTCTTTCGCTCTCTCTCTCTCTTTCGCTCTCTCTGTCCTCGGGAAAAAGAAAGAGACAAGGCGGCGACGGCAATGCCTTATTCGTTTGTGTGCAGCGTCTACGCCGGTCTATTTCGCAAGCCACGTATTCCCTTTCGTTGTATGTAGGAGGTAGATCGGGAGAGAGGAAAAGGAGAGCGAGAGAGAAAGAGAGAAGTAGCGCGTAAACGTGTGTCGCGCGGAGTCTCTTATTTCACGCGCGCGCGCGAGAGAGAGCATGTTGTGGGCTCTCCTTTCTGAATTGTAGATCGATGCACTGGAGGAGACAGGAGACTCGTGACCGCCGACACGTATCGAATATGCCGCTCCGAACGTATGTCACGCACTTTCGCGATTCTCCCCTCCTGCGCTTTCCTTACGTATACGTGTAATAGGTACAATTTAATCTAATCTGCCGCTTTTTCCCCCGATAGTGTTGAACATAATTGACGCCGCAGTGCGTTCTTGTCAAAAAAGAGTATATGCTACATTTGCATATCTCCATTTGCATAATTTGCATATGGAATAATAACAGGGTTATAATATGTTGTTCGAGGCGTTTTCTCTACAGCTTTTCACATAATCGAGCTAATGATATTTTTTATATGCATATAGAATAATATGTAATGTGGAGTCTCCTCAATACGTGATATGAATTGTTCATGATTCCAAATACCCGGATACATATAATATGTATATATTTAAGTGATTGATAGATAAGCATTCAAGCATATTTTTTTTATTAAGTACATGATTTATATTGACAGCATTATGTCTACTTATAACCACTTGTGTGTGTTTTGTAGAATGAATAAATAAGATTGAGCGAGAAATTATAAATATTTGAGAAAAAATGGTAAAGCAAGAAATTAAATATTTGATAAAATAAAATATTGAGCAAGAAATTAAATAAATTTTTTTCTTCAAAATCTCAAATCAATGTCGCGTTCTGTTCAACTTTCGGATATACTTTATATTTTATTTCATCGATAAGCGATAGCTTTGTATGTAATAATTTACAGCTCGTTGTCTGATGTTTTTTTTGTACTAGCTTCCAATTAAGAATTATCAATGCAAAGTAACAAACTGAAAGTAAAAATGAGTGTTTTAATTTAGGTATGTTTGCAATTTAAAAAATATTATAATTACACGTTAATTGAAAATAAAGAAAATTGATAAAAATAGAAAAATGCACAAGGACGTAATTAATTAATTGTATGCTTGAATATTTCGGCGCCTCTGACGTTTTGTTTTGATCGCGCACGTGTTTTGAAAACGTGGTTTGAATCTCCAGCGAATCAAATTTCGGAAAACAAGGCGCGTACTTTGAATATTTATAATGTAAAATTGCTCCGCTATATATATATATCCACGTTTAAAATTATTTTCGATATTATGTCATACAATTAAATGTAGAATAAGTATTCGCAATTTAAAAACTCAGTAAATTTTGTCTCGTCTTTATCTGATCTCGATAAAATTTCACATTCACATATACAAATTTAATGAATGTGGTTTGCTTTATCAAACTTTTTCTCTCTTTCTCTTTCTTTTTTATTTTCCGACCATATGGTGCGCTACAATATGATATGCTCTTCGTGCTCTCTCCTCTTTAATTTAATTCTGCTTTAAGTTTTTTTAATTTATTAAACGTAAAAACCCAGTTATCAGATTAGTTCCGTGTTTTTGTGAAGAATTCCGATAATAATTGAAGCGATATGTTGCGAGAAAAGGGAAAGCGCGGTATATTGTGCAATTAGCAATACATCTCATTGATTGATTGAATAATTAATTCGGACGCGGTTAATAAAGTTGATTCGAACGTGTAGATGTACGTGTTAAAAGTAATCGTTTCTCAAATATCAACAATTGCATCTCCAGCAAGATCAATCACTCGATTCAGCGTCTCTGTACCAGGAAACCAGGAGACCATAAGAGGTGGTTCGCGACCGTGACACACACAAAAGAGCGTGAAAGTGTATGGATGGATGCTGTATGTGCTCCTGGTATCGATGAACACATCGAGCACCCTTGTAGAGACGATTCATATTTCCTTTTTAGGATTGTCTTACCATCTTTTTTTGTCTGTTTATTCTTTTTATAATATTGTTGCAAATTGAAATAACATTAATCGCAACAATAACAATTATATTAAAATTTGTTTTGAAAAAAAATAAGAACATTATGTGTGTCATTTCAATTTTTGATGTTACTATTTCGATGTTATATTTTCGCGATGAAATAAACAAAAATAAGTTTTTTTGCTTGTTTAATCATTTTATTTTTAAGAGTTATTTTTGTGTATATATATATATATTTTATGTATAAAACTCTTATTATTATACAATAGACTTACAGTAACAATTTATAGTAGATTTTAAAAGAAATTTCTCAATTATCAACAGATAGATATGTGCAAAATATATTTGTTTACGTAAAATAACAGTAATGCATTTTAATTCTGTGAAAAAAATATGTTCTTATTGTTAGAGTGATCTATATAAAATTTTATTGCGTCCTAAGAAATAAAAACGAAGAAAATGTGAAAAAATTTAAACATGTTTGATTATTATTAAATATACATATATGTTTGTAAATTGAGTGTGAGTATACATATATAGGATGGGAGTTTCGTAATGCATTTATAATCAGATATAAAGTATTATCTTTGATTTTTTTAATCTAATTTTTTTTATGAATTAGTGAAAATGATACAGAGAGAATCGAGAGTGCACAATTTATTATATACTGATAATAAATCTGATTTTTGCGAGCGTATAATAATTACTATACATATTTGATAACGAATGTATCTATTTGTCATGTGTAGAAAAAACGAAGAAAAGAACAAAAGGATGGGGAAGAGAATGCGACCAACGGATTGGACCCATTCGATGATGATGACGAGGATAAGCTTAGAGACATGGCAAAACGATTCGAAGCTAAATATGTATGTTTGATGCGTATGAAATTGATTTTGTGATCGAATTTACAAATTCAATTAATATTCGATTTTTTATTGATTTTTAGGGAACATCTACTATGGGGAAAAAAAGACACAAATACGATGATTATGTGGACTTGGGCGCAGGGTATGACGAAAACGATTCCTTCATCGACAATACTGATGCTGTACGTAAAGTATATTTTTTTAAAAAGTATTATATTTTTATATATATTTTTTCAATATTATTGACGAAGAGATAATTTTTCCACATAATTTAAATATAATTTAATTTATATTAATTTATTTATATTTAATTAAATTATATTTAATTTTAAATATTATTTAAATAAAATAATTTTGCCAATATTTTTTTCGACAGTATGATGAAATCGTACCCGAAGAAATGACCACAGCCCACGGTGGTTTCTACATTAATTGCGGCGCCCTTGAATTCAGAGCAGCCGATAGACATTCATTAGTTCATAATAATAATAATAATAACAACAACAACAACAACAACAATAGTGACGATGATGAAAGTAGCGAAAGCAGCGAGGAAGATACCGAAGATGTAGATAGCCCTAAAAGAATAGACAAGCGAATTATTAGTTCATCGGATGACGATGAGACAGAGGATATTACTAGTGATAATCCACGAAAAGTAATTACGAGAAATATGTATATATGATATCGTTAGTTTTCTACTTCAAATTTTACTTTAAATAATGAATTTTTATAGAGACGGAAAATTGAAGAAAGCAGTGATAAGAAAAATAACCACGAAAATAATAAAAACGAAAAAAATCAACAAATCATCCAACACAAGATGCGCAACAAAATTCTCAACAAGATTTAGATATTTTGAGACGGAAGGAGAAGAATGAGACTACGGATGCTGAAGGTGGCACAGGTAATTTCTCATTAGATATTCTAATTCTAGTTATTAAAAATATTTGATTTATACCTATTGTATATAAATTAATTTTATGATATATTTTAGCTTCGGAAGATCAAGAGGAGAAGAAAAAGCCTGATAAAGTAGAAAAAAACAAGATAAATGAGAAAAAATTTGATATAAAAAGTTTGAGAAGAAATCATCTAATAGTAATGGATACGATGCGAAGAAAATAGATCTAAAAAGATTGTGCGGTAAAGACAGCAACATCGATGATGCGATAGAAAGCGTTGTCAACGCAGCTAGAGGAGTTGAAGATGATTCGAGTCGTGATACAACGGATTCAGGAAAATCTCGTGTTTGTCTTTACGTCGAATCTGACGGAGAAGAGATGGAGAATAAAGAAGCGTCTTTGCCCGACAATCTTCCAGAGGATATAAAAGAAATAGTGAATAAATTAAAGGTTCAGGCGGAGAACAGCAAAGATAGTAAGAGTAAATTTTTCAATGGCGCAATTAACGAAGTATTGTTTAAGTAAGTTTCTATGCTATATATAAATTTAAAAAATTATGAATCATGAAAAATATTCTAAGACTTATTATTTTTATTACAGTTTAGAGAAGAAACTACGAATGTTGAATTTGCCTAGCATAAGATTACAAACTTATGGTCATCTAGTACGTTTTTTGCCGTGCAGTAAGATTACTCTTCTCAGTAGGGCCAAGAAACTTTATTTAAAAGATGCTGAATACAGAGTGAATGAACCAATGCAAAAGTAAGATTGCAATTGTGTGTGTATATAAATATATTTTTTTGCAATCTTATTTAAAATTAGCTTTTTTATAGAAAGACTTAATTTATTTTATAAAATTCCGGATTATTAGATATACTTTTTATATGGACTCAGGTTTTTTTTAAAGATTTAATGAAATTTATAATAAAATTGTTTCTTTCATTTTTAAAAATTCGGATTTTAACCATGTTTGTTAATTTTTGCAGATTAAAAACTCTCATTGATAACGTCATGCCATCAGTTGTAGAAAAATACATGAAGGAGTGTCAGAAAGTTGCTGATGAAAAGTGAGTAGTTTTATTATATCCTATATATGTTTAATGATTTGATAAACAAATTTAAAAAATGATATATTACAGTTTTTATTCCCGATTTTTGTACCAATACTATGTATACTATTTTTACTTTAATATGTATACTATTTTTATTATGTATACTATTTTTATTTTAACGATAGATTGTTTCATTATTAATGAACTATTAATTGGTTATAATATTAAATATATAATCTAGGATCTAGGAAAGATATAATTGTGTGAATAGCAAAAAATCCAGTTTCCCAGCATTAATACATATAAATTTACAGTTTATAATTCTTCATAGTTCTAGTTTATAATTTTTTCAAATATAAACTTATTGTAATTTTTTATTTCTCAGTCCTCAATTATACTGGGAGATATATCGGTACTGTTGGTAAGGCGCCCCTCGTAAGAGGAACCCCTTTCTATTCTCGCCTCTCCGACTGCTCTTTCTCTCTATCTTCCTCCTCTTTTTTTTGCTGCCTTTTATCTTTTTCCCTTAATCTATTCATGCTTATATGCTTTTGCTCTCTCAATTATTGATCAAACGTTCATATAATCAATTATGTTTGCATATGGAGGAAAAGCTATTTTATTACTTAACAGTCATTATTCTTCTCATCACATTATTGAGAAAGCAGAGGAAAATGCGGGGCTTTTTATCATCAGTATCAGTGTTTAGTTTATCACTAGCATCATCTTTTGTATCAATCGAAAATTATGCATTTGACATGGGACACAATTCGACGATTAGGTGATTTGGTTATAATATACTATGTTATTTTTTAAAAGAAGATTAAGATCGAGGAATTCTGTCGCAACAAATGCTAATCATTATTCTTTGTCATCGCGACAAATCATATCATGAATTTACATAATATTATCTTTGTTCAAATGTAATTAATAAATTAATCAATTTCAGGGGCTTTGAAGGATCTCCTGCAGATGCAGAGAGTAGTGACGAAGAAGATGGGTCTTCTAAAAACACGGAAAAATCGAAAATACCACGTAAACGATTTCCATGGACTGATGAAGCCAAGTATGTTACAAAAAATATATGTGTGCACACATATTTTGTTATTCTTGTATTTACTTGTTACTTTTGTATTTACACATATACAAATATAAATTTTATCAATTTTAGGAAACTAGTCCTTGAAATTGCTAATGCCAGGAGACATTATTTCAAAATTCTAAGACCAAGAAAGGAGAGTATGGAATCGTTTGTTGCTACCTTTATGGATACAAATGTTTTGCCATTGTGGCCAACTGGTTGTGTACGATTACAAACTTTGTTAAAATATGCTAGTCCTGTTGAACCTGTGTAAGTACTACATTACATTGTCAATATATTTACTGCATATATATATATATATATATATATATATATATATATATGTATGTGCATATAAGAGTTGCTCTTTCTCTCTATAAGTGTGAAAAAGACTTCCGCTATTTGTGCTTTGCTTTGCGCATGAAATTATCCTATTGTAGCTTCTTTCATTTTTATAAAGGTGAAAGAAATATATATGCATACATGAAAAGTAAGATTCCTGAAGACTGAATTTACTAATTTCTTTGCAAATTTCGCGATTTAAAGCGAAAAATCCAGAGATCTGGCACGATTTCCTCACATGATGTCAAGTAGTTGGTTGGTAGCTTCATCATTTGATCATTGTATGTTTTAGGTGATTGTAGTGGATTAATACTGAATTTCTACTTCTTCACTCATTAATGGATTCCTAGAAAAAAGTTGTATTCTGCAAGAATCATATTCAATTTAATGCATTTGTAGACTATATGAGATTGATTTGTATGCAAATATTTAATGTTAATACTAAATTGTTTTTTTAATGCTTCTTTAATTTCTTGTGCATTAGCCAAAGTAGCTCATATTATTTATTTTTATTTATATTCAGCATAAACAGTTTTTATTTTATTATTTATTTATTTATTTATCATTAAAATATACACATTAAATATTTGTACACACTATTTTGCGCTTTTTTTTGTTATTACACACACACAGCTTGGCTTCTTCCTAATATTTATGCAATTCTTTGATGTTGGTATTCATGTTATTTTATATCAATAAACCAATATGATTTTAGCATTAAGAAGAAATTTAAAAAATCAAAAGAAGTGACCAACGCAAATAATATTGCCACTACTGGAAATATTCAAACTTGCAATTCTGTTGCAAAGAATGATACGGCAAACGCGAATAATGTTTCGACTCAAGAAAGCGAGAAGACAAATGTATCCAAAATTCAAATTAGTGGTGAAAACAATCCTTCAACAAATCCTTTAAGTCAAACAACAGCAAAGTCTAACGATGTCAGTACTGATAAGAAGCAACATAGTAGTAAACATAAAGATAAGCATGTAGAGAATAATGCGAGCCAGCAACAGGAAAGCGCTATTGTTGCCGTCAATAATTCTACAGTTGGTAAAATTTCCGTCGTACCTACGGCACAGTTAATGGCTCAAAAGCCAGCCAAGAGTCACGTTGAGAAATTTAATCTCATGGATCTAACCAGCAGCTCTCTGTCTATCACACCGGTTAATGATTATCATAAATCATCGGCAAAGATAACTGAAACAAAGAAAGATATAGTTTCCATTACAGCGTGTCCGGAACCCGTGAGTCATTCTAAACCAAACGAAATTTCTCAAACTGGACATCATTCTGTGTATAGACAAGATAACTATTCATCAGCACAGGTATTAAAACATAGATTCCTGCAAGAGAATGCTGATGCTAAATGCGATAAGAGATTAGACGAGAAAGATGACACGGTCAACAAGACTGATAAAAAGGACAAGAGAAGAGAGCGATGTGTGGAGGTAAAGCATAAATCGTCACATGATCCAAAGAAAAGGAAAAAGGATCAGAAGGTTATGGAGATAGGGCCTATTACCCAAGATGTAGTGCCTATGCCACAGCAAACGACTCTTTCGAAGGAAGAACAGGAACAAAGGCAAAACGAGGAAACGATCGCTGCGACTAATTACCTCAGTCAGATCATAAATGATGATTCTTCGCCGCGAGGATTAACGGATAAACGGAAAGATGGTTTTATTACAGATGATACTTTAGGAAATATAGTACAACCGACAGAACAGGAGAAAGATGTTCAGATGGTAATGAGATCGTTAAAGGAATTACAGGAGTTACAAGAAATGAAATATTCGCCTAGTAATTCGCCGGTCGGTAATACTACTCAAAAGCCTGGTAAATCGAACACATCGTACATTACTTATCAGGAGGATTATCAACGATTGTACCTCAAGAAGGAGGATAAGGTAAGATCTAAGGAAGAAGCGCAATGGTAGAAATGATATTATATTAAATCCGTTTAAAGCGTAAATCACTTATATATGAACATATTATTTTCATGAGAGATAATTAGGCGGAACTCTCGATATTTATATAATTTCTTTTTTCTTTTCATAAACGAAAGCGAAAGCTGACCGAAACTTCTTCCATTTATATGATGCGTCATTGCTGACGAAATAAAAAGTATGCAACAGTATAGGTCTAGCTGTTATATTGCGTGCGGCGTAAGAATTTTCAACAAACAAAAAAACCGTCAAATTATGTATATAATAAATTTGCTAGCGGTAGTGTCGGTTGTATATGTACAGATTAAGCATAAATTATAAAACTAGAGTATTCGAAAAAAGTGTGTATACTGAACGAACGACGAATGAATAGCAAATGTAAAATCACATATATTTAAAGCTTCTTTTCAAGGTTTTATAATCGGACATGAATTAAATATCATCGAAACATTTTTTTTGCATTCGCTTTAACTGTATTTTTTCTTCTACAATGAAAATTTGTATATTCGCTGTTCGTTTTTAATTCGTTCGGTGTATACATACACTCTAATAAGTATCTGTATATAAGTGAGCAGCGCGTCCAATCGTCTCCGTGATTTGAGTGGTCTACATTCTATATGAATTTTATTTTCATTTATTTTGACGAATCGCTTGATTTTTTATTGTTATTTTTTTTATCAATTATCCCATAATTGATATTTATATAATATTCTCGGCTGCGCACGTGACACTTGATTTTAATTATAAACGTAGGCATTAAATGCTTGTCTTTTTTTTTATAAATACTGTCAAACAACGTGGGAGAGAGGCAGGTTATTAATGTTTAATAAGTGTTTACTTTATATCTTGTATTTTTTGACCACCCTGTGTCACAGAGCGAGAAAAAGGTGTGTATTGTTCCTTTTTTGCGTTTCGGCTGTCATTATCATAATATATATTATCCATCAACAAAGAGAGAAAACGAAGTTCAGTTTGGAACATACGTTCTGAGAATTTAATGAAATGATATTATTGCCTTCCAAATTTTTATGGATAAGAAACAGGATAAGCGATTAAATGAAATTAATCAAAATGTGAAACCATAATATCAGATCTGTTATTAAAAAAGTAAAAAAAAGTCAAGGTACAATAAGATACTTCCATTACATTATCTTTATGCTGAATTTTTTTTGTAACATCACAATAATATATATGTATCTTCAACGCTTTAGAGTGTTGGAGGATGGAGTGCGATTATTATTAGATTAGCTCAAGAATGTATGTGCGAGCATTCGTTGCTTTCTCAAATTGCAAATTTGTGTGGCTTTGTATACGGCTTGACTGAGTAATAGATATATAATAGATAGCGTGGAAGAGAGAAAAAATGTGAAAAAAATAGAGAATGTATGTGAATAATGTTTGGAGAGAGAAAGAGAGAGAGTGAGAGAGACAACTAGATTATTTTTGGAACATACATGAAGATGACGACTAGTACTGTATTATATACCATTATACCTTACCCTCGTCCCCTCCCATTTTATCCTTATGATACTTAGAATACGGTTAAACGTGTACAATTCCGCATTGAGAATTTTCACTAAGACGACTTTTAAAATATAAGTTTTGAATATTTTTTACAAAAGTTATACGATTTTTCTACCCTTTTCTTCGTTGTCATATAGATTATCAGGATATATATTGCGTCATATAATTATTGTCTCTTTATTACAGTTTTTCTTTCTGTTTATAATCTGTACTGTTCATTGATAAATACAGTATGCGAAAAGATCCAACGCTGTCATGAATAGTGTGTATGATAAAAGCGAAAATTCTGAAATTTTATAAATTGTATTTGCATTATTATTAATTATTACACTTCCTGTACAAGCTTTTCTATTGACTTACCAGAATTTTCTGGTCGTAAATTTAAAATATTGTCGTAAAATATAAAATGCATCATCGTTACATAAACGTTAAAAGCATTTGTACAAGTTCGAAAAATCCATTCGCATTCTGAATCTAACAATTTCTTCTCGACCATTTTGTAATAATATTTATTCTTGATTTTTGTACTTGTGTATTTATTGCATGATGAAAAGAAAATTGCAATTATGATTTAAAATTTCGTATAATACAGAATAAGTCGATTATGTCATTTTTAAAGACAATTTTTAAATAAAATAGATTCGCGTTTGTTTTTTTTTGCAGGAATTGTAATAGATTTATATAGAGTGTCTTGGAATGCATTATTTATTTTGTACAGAAACGAGATAGACTTTTCTCGCAATTCGACCGAATATATCTGTAATTATTTTTATATCAAATTATCTCGAAAATATTTAATCTAATCTCGTTTCTCATAAAAAACAAACATTCGCGTTTGTTTTTTTTTTTTTACAGAAATAGATTTATATAAAGTGTCTTGAAATGCATTATTTATTTTGTACAGAAACGAGATAGACTCCTCGCAATTCGATCGAATATTATCGGCAATAATTTTTATTTCAAATTATCTAAAAAAAAAAAAATCGAGTTCAATCTCGTTTCTCATCGATCGACTAAATTGTCCATTAAAATCGCGCGCGCGCATTCGGCGCTTCGGTCATTCGCCGCGCGGCGTCGCCACGCTCGCAGATCTCGTGACGTAACGCGACTCTGCGGTTCGAGGAGCGAGCGGGGGTGGCGAAAGGGTAGGGAGGAGACGGCGGTCCAATGTGTGACCTTGCAGTGTTTGTAAACAGACACACGTTGCCGTCGCGAACTGTTACGAAGGATCGCCATCGCGAGCCACCCCGTGTTATTGTTGTGCCCGAGGAAGTGCGAGGGACGCGCGCGCGGGTCAGCAAATGGAGATGGAGCCGATGTGCATCGTGGAGAACGAGACGGTGAGTTGATGACTCGTCGACGATCTGTCGCGCGCGCTGACACAATGTGCTCGCGCGTGACGGCCAAAACCTGCCATGGGAGAGAGAGAAACGGACGGGCTCTCTTTGCGTGCATGCTCGAACGCGGGATTACACCACGTTGTGCAAAGGGAGCGCGTGTTGGATTTTTTTCTTATTATCTCGCTCTTCGCATTTCGCGGACGACATCGCGCTCGACTTTGCTCGAGCGAATCGCCCGATATCTCGGACGGCGGAGCGGGGCCACCCCAGTTCGCATTGACGGAGGTCGCGGGGCGGTGGGAGGTAGACGGGCGCGCGGGCGTTGCTGTTTAGCTGGCCGATATTCCGTTCGTGCGGTCAAGCTGGCGCCTGCGTGGCTTCGCATTTTTCGCGACAGATGGCGCTGCCGGTCGGGTCCGCGAGCTCTCGTCGAGCGATGGCGCTGACTCCGCCAACTCGGTCGTTCGCAGTTTACGGGGTATCACGGTCGCGATCGAGTCGTGTCTGTTCGATCGAATAATAATATATATACAGGCGTCGGAAATTTGGTGGCTTACGACAGATTGCGGAAACGAAATTACATTGTCGAAAGAGTGCCGTCATTTTGCGATTATTATATTGTCTTTGAGTGAATTTTACGAGCGAAGAAATTATCGCGAGTGTTTTTCGTACAGCGAGAGTGCAATGCATGCGATCATCGTCAGGTATGTGCGTGCACATGTGTGCTTTTATCGCAGTCTAATATTTATTTACGTATTTTGCAAAGTATCTTTTTTTCTCGTCGAAATCTAGCCGTACGCACTACATTCAACAATTCAGAGTACACGAGTACAATCGAGACGAGCAGAATCGAATCCGTGCGACGCGATTGGTCTGTCGCTTCGACCGTATCGAAATTCGAGATCTCGCAGTTCGAGAGTTCGAGTCGATTTCAAATTGCGGTCAGTCGTGAAGCGCGTCGCGGAGTACGTGGAATCTCTCCGCGATTCTTCTCGCGTTTCTGGTTTCTCGCGAATAAATCTCTTCGCACCTGTCAAAAAATAAATCGCTCGCTGTCATATAAAGTGTCGGGAAGCATCGTGGGCGTCGAATTTCGCGAGCATAATGCATTCTGCCCTCGTCCACGATGGCGACGTCGCGAAAGTTTCTCGGCGATATCGAAATCGTAATTATAAAATGGCCGCGCAGCTCCGCGGGATGCCGCGCGGTGACGCCAGCGTCAGCTTTCCGCGCTCGTCGCGGGCGCGCACCGCCCGAGATCCGTCCCTGTCGAGAACCTCTTAGCCCGTGAACTGCGCAGTTGACAGAGGCCGCACGACGCGTAGCAGCGCACCGGTGAGTTTTTCCTCCAAGATCTTTTTCGCGCGCGGGTCCACGGGCCGCGTCCGCCGGCGACGTGACGCGGTGCGACGCGACGTCGCGACGCTGTCACCCTGTCGGCGTCGCCCGCCTCAGGATGTCCCGTCCCGAATTTCGTTCGTCGCGCGCGCCGCGAGTAAACGCCTTATATGCACACGCGTATGCAACGTTTCGCGGCGCAGCGCGGCGCCCTCCGTGTGTTACGGATATACGTGTTCGGTTCGGCTCGCATATGCGTGTGTGCGTGACTCTCTTTTTCGCTCTCGGTCTTTCTCTCGCAATCAGCCGGCGACGAAAACTGGGACGCGTGCCCGTTTCTCTCGCCGCGACGATCGTAATTCATAAAGCGTCGCGGACGGTGACCGCGAGAAACCGGTCGATTTCGGAGCCCGCCGCCGCGGGCTTCTGCGTCGCCTAAACGCGACGCTACTGCGCAATTCAGCTGTATATACGCATATCGGAAGCGTCGATCGAGAGATGCGATTTCGATCGTATTTCGTACATTTTTGAGCGACTCGCCCTTTTCGCGCGAAAAATCCGCGTGAAACCGCGCTAAGCGATGCGCCGAATAATCGGCAGCTATTTTTGGAATATATTGTTTTTATTGTTTTGTGATACCCGTCTCTTTTTCATGTATGTAATGTTATCTTGCTTGATAAAGTTGTTTTATTTTGCAAAAAAGTTACGTCATTGTTTTATCGGTTTTCGGTGGACAACGTTTGTAGTTAGACTATTATATTTACAGAAATTACATTTAATACTTGTTTATCGCGAGAAATTATGAATGTGCAATGCAATTATTTTGATCTAAAAATTGCTTGTCATTCAAAAACAAATTTTTTCCTACAAAACAATTTATTAATTTGCATTCGCTGGATATAGAGCCCATTGATTATTTTTTGACTTGTATCCATTAATATGAGAAATTTGCATTTTTTATAAATTATGAGTTTTCTTTAATTTGTACGCATCATAAATATTGTATAATTGCATTCAATTATTTTTTTAACTACTATTTGCTATTAAATCATGTTTTGAACTACTGAATTGGTTTTTTTATGTTAATATTTTTCATTGGAACATATGGTATTACAGCTGATATCAGAATATTTAGATTTAATATGATAATAATCTTATCTACTGCGTATTGCAACTTTGATTAATTCATATGCTCTCACTCACATTAATATCACTTTATTGTTGACTTTTGTATTGATTCTCGCATCTTCACAAGAAAAAGCTATCTGCATCGATTTTTTTTAAATTGCTATATAGTCAGTGCAAATATCATGTATTGCATTAAAACAGTTTTAGTTTATTTCTCTTATAATCTTATGCTATTAACGTATTGTTATTATAATATATCAATGTTATTTATATCAATGCATTTTAATATATAATATATTAATGTTATATATTGTAATATATTGATACATGTAATATATTGAAATACATTGTAATATATTGAACACAATATGTTAATGATGATGAAATGGTGAATATATGTATGTATTCTTATATTCAAATATCTTTTTTGCATCTTTTGCGATATATCTTGTGCATTTATTGAAAATAAAAATATGTAGGAGATTTTTTTATAAACATTTTATTCTAAAAAAGAGATTTGACAACAGTCCTGATTTTTTCTAAAACAAATACATTACATTACAAGAAAATCTAACTATCATGTCGTGCGGTTAGTTGAGAAGCAATTGAGGTTTGTAAACGAAGACGCCGAGGATACGGCGTCTCTTTTAATGAATCCACAATATTTCCTTCGTATCACGTCCTTGGAAATAAGGTTCGCAATCTCGCGAGTCCGAGCGAGGGAATTACGATTGTACGTGATCATCGTTGTCCTTCGTTGCACTTCTTCGAGGCATCGTCGACAATACGCGCGCTACATGAAACGCTTCGATGCACGAGGTAAAAACATTTAATCGTAGTAGCGATAATGAGGGGACGTAGGCGATTTGATAAAAAAAGGGAGTGAGATAACCCTTTGCGATTCAATTGTATGTTTTGCGCAATTTCCATCATTGTTGTAGCCTGACGTATCGTATCACAATGCGTAGACGTAATTGTCACGATTGTAGTTATTTCCATGTAGTTGATTTAAATATTTCTCGAACGTTTGAACAACTAAAAATTCCATAAATCTTTAAAAGGGTTTAATATACCTGTTTCTTATTTGAAAACTCGTTTTTTTAATGATTTATAAAGAAGTATGAGACAAACATGAGTTAAGAGATTCACACGATTTTGTCTAGTGTGTGAATTTGCATATTTGTTCCTTCAAATCCTTTACGTAAAAAAGAAATCTCAGATGTTGATCTGCGTCGAATGTAAGTAACAAGCCTTGTGAGAAAAAAATCAATTTTGCATTGTGCAAAGAATTAGTATAATGAGAATGACGTTCGATAGTTTATCTATATAGGAGACATTTCGTATATGAAATATTTCAAGATATATTCATTCAGAGTCTGGTTCTATATATATATTTTTCTCGTTGAATTTCAGCAAAACTTTAACAATTCTCAATGGGGTAGTAGTTTGCGTGATTGTCGGTATTGTACGCGTTATCAGTCTCGTTATCATTATCATCACTGTACAACTTTAGGTGTTACCATTGCTGGCGAGTATCATCACTCCGACAGTAATGTAACGAGCATTCTCGTGTTCTCAATGCCGTCACTCGTTCTTCGCTCGATCTCAACGAGCCATGAGCCAGGTTATCATGAGAAACCTTCCAGATGTTGCACTGTGCAGCATTGTGCAAAGAACCTCTCGCCAGATGCAATATCTTTAACAAAATATACGACAATGTCCCAAAAATAGAATGGTCGAATACTTTTAAATTTATAATTGTGATAAGTCGAATTTATAGTAATATTTATGAAAGTCAATTGCTTTATTTTTATTTGTTTTATGAAGAGTTCAAAGTATACAAGTTTTATATATTTTTTAAATTATATCTACTTTTTCGTTATAGATAATTACAACTGCGTTCATAAATTCCTTCACATCCTAGAGAATATTAGAGATTTCTTTTTACTTTATTTAAAAAAAGCTTTGAAGGAGCATATGCAAATTCATATACACTAAACAAAGTCGTATGAATCTCTTAATTCATGCTCATTTCTCATACTTTTGCATTCTTTTTAAAAATAATATATTAAAATAAAAACCAATTTTTAAATAACAGACAAGCATATTAAACTCTTTTAAGGATTTATGGAATTTTTTAGTTGCTCCAATTTATTTTGTCGCGATTCGGTGTGTATCATCTCTTTTTTTTAAAAGTTTCTTATAAATTGACGAGTTTGTTATGTGCTACATCTGTTTCATAATTTTGTTGCTATATATCTGTTTCATAGTTTGATAGAAAATAAAGCATTATGCGATGCATCATCGAATCGTCATCGCGACGTGTACAAAGTGCACACACATCTCGCAGTTCATCGTCTTTCAAGTCGTTGGCGTATTGAATCATTCTTATTTCCGTTTATATGCGTATTGCTTCGGTGATTGTAGTATATCCCATCGATGTCAACGCGGAGAAAATTTATATCCACCTCGTGAGATATTCCGAGATATTCCTCTCTGTCTTCAGGATCTCTCTTCTCTTTTACGCACAATGT